GGGAAGGATACCTCCTGGGAGTTACACAAGCCTGTGGATCTCAGCTCCCTGCACTGTCCCTGATGCCATGGGAAGTACTGAGAGGACTCAGAAACTGTTGCGCCCTTCCCGTGCTCTTCACGCTGAGCAGCCTATGGCCAATGCGGCCCGCCCGGGTCCCGCTGGGAGGCCTCTCCTCTGCGGTCCCGGGACCCGGCAGGGGCATAGTGGCTGGGCCAACACGGCACTTGGTCCGGTTTGCCTGAGCAAGCTAGGGCTTAGTTCTCCATGGAAAAGAGCTCGGGCTTCCAGTCAAGCCCGTGTCTGGGCGAGGCGGAGTCTGGTCTCCGGGAAGGACAGAGAACCCTGAGTCCAGCCACACCAAGTGTCCTGCTGAGGACCGGGGTCAGTGGGCAGCTCAGGCTGACTTCCTGGGCCCAACTCCTGCCCTCTGCCATGGATATGCTGCTGGAGCAGAGGCCTCCAGCCCCACTCCCCACAGAGGCCTCACTGCAGGGGAGGCTGCACAGGGAGCATGCCCTGCCCAGGGGACTAGACCAGGGGCATGCATTGTACCAGAAGGTGGCCCCACAGGAACATAGACAACTCCCACGTCATAACGCGAGGCTGGCAGTGAGCACACGGCACACACAAGCCAGGGAATCGCAGCACCGCTGCCTCTGCCCGGCCCTGGCCCCGACCCCGGTCCCGGCCCGGCCCTGCCCCATGGGCTCACACTGCAGGGCCCTCTCACCACCAGGCTGGGGGTAAGGGCGAACCATGAGCAGTGTGTGCAGGTGGGTGTTACACACACACGCGACCACGCAGCCTGGGCCCCCTCATCTGCTCTGGCTCCCGTGCCCTGACCTCGAGGCTGCCCCCCGCACGGGAAGCCTGGCCCCTGTCCTTTGGCAGGGGGTACCCCTTCCCAGAATGGCCCACGTCAGCCCTGCCCCCTGGGGCCCTGTGAGACGACTGAGTAGGCCTGGCCCTGGGCCCCCGTTGGGCCGGCGCACAGAACACCCCGCTCACCAGCTGAATTGCACGGCCTATCCTGGCCGTTGACCTCTCCCTCCCTGCTGCTGTGGACGCCCCACCGGCCCTCGTCCTTGGGCCGTGCCTCTGCCTTGTCCCCTCCCCGCTGACGCTGTCTCGCTGGTCCCTGCCTCTCCCTGCAGTTGTCTTTCTGCCCCTCATCTTCTTCTCACCTCTCCTTGCCTGCTCCGCCCCCACCCGTCACTTCCACACCCCTGATCTGTGGTGGCCACAGGATCACAAGGACAGGACAGGAAGTCCCTGCAGGAATGTGTCTGTCCCAAGAGAACACAGGCAAGCAGAAGCCCGGGTGGCCATGTCCACACGTGTAGCAAGGTGACTCGGTGACTTCAAACACATGCCACCCTCTCTGGGCCCTGCTGTCTCGGCGAGGAAGGACTTGCATCTGTGTGGTAAAGCTGCGGTGACCTGGGCCCTGTCAGTGGCTCGGTGGACCCCAGCAGTTAGGGGAGGACAGAGCCCTTTCTGGGGGGTCAGTGAGACCTCCAGTGTGAGTAGACAGCCTGTCCTCGGGGAACAGGCCTGCTTGGCCATGGAGAGAGTGGGGCAGCGGGTCATGGGGAGCACAGGAGGGTGGCTGCGGCACCTCACGCCACATGGCCCAGACGCCCTGGGAGGACGACGTGGGGTGGGCGGGTGCCGAGGCTCGCGGAGTGAGCGTGAGCGGGGCTCTTGGCCAGCAGGCAGGTGTGGCCGGAGGGTGGACCCGGCAGCAGAAGCCTGGGAGGTGCAGGGTCCGAGGGTGGAGTGGCCGGGGGCAGGAAGCGGGAGGAGGCCTCTGTGGTGACCTTGCCTACCCACCGTTCTCAGCTAGGGTCCGGCTGTGGGACAGGCAGGCCCCCCAGTGCTCTCCCCTCTTCCATTTGCCACCCACCTGGGCTCGCCCTCCCCAGTGGCCAGAGGCCTTTGTGCCGTGGCCGCCCAGCGCTGGCCTTGGCCTCACCGCCACAGAGACCCGACACTCCCAGGGAGACCTTTACTTCCTGCAGAGGCTCCAAGGTGGGTCCTGGGAGCACGGTTCCGGCAGCCTCGGAGCCCTCGCCCCGGAGCCCACGTGCCTCTCCCGCACAGCCCCGCCCTGGCACCCTCCTGCAGTTTAACTAGCCCAGCCCGGCCGAAGGTGAAGGTGCAGCTGCACCCCAGCCCTCTGCCCTTCCCCCAAGGTGCACCCCGACTCCAGAGCTCACGGTGGGGAGACGCAGTGCCTCTCCAAGGACCTGATTATTTCCGAAGACGTGTGCTAATTTTCTGATATGGCCCTCGCATCTCTGCAAGGCACTAAATCCTCATTACTTTTCCTGACCGATGCATTCTAATTAGATCAACACTTAAAAAAATTCACAATAGCCACAGGACAGCTTTCCATCTCATTAACTCCTCACTTATTATTTTCATGAAAATTACTGATAAAAACGTGCGTCTGCCTTCAGTAAGGCCGCACGGCCTCCTCGGCTCTATCTCCCATCTCTCCTGGTGCGGCGCTGCGTCGCCATGGTAACCCACAATAATAGAAACTAATAAATTACAAACGAGATGCTCGTCGAGCAATTATTGTCCTTTTATGCAAGTTTCTTGCTAATTTTGATCATAAGGGAAAGCACAATAAGACTGAAGGAATGAGTCTATTTCAGAGAACATTAGCAAGCGGGTGCCGGGCGGCTGTTTTTAGACTCCACGGTCTCGGGCCCAGGGCAGGAAGTAAGCCCTCCCGTGTCTGCAGTGCTCGCCGTCACGCCCACAGAGCCCGGTGGCTCTCACAGGCAGGGGTGTCATCCCCATGCTTGTGGCCCAAGCGTGCCAGGCCTGGCTGGCCTCGGAGGTGCCCGTGCCCTGCTCCTGCCGTGGGGAGAGTGTGTCTCCCGGCCAGGCCCGGAGGTGAAAATGGCACGCCTACCTCAGGCGCCCTCCCAAGTGGTCTCGCCCGGCATCCTCAGCCAGGTGCCCTTTTCCCATGCTGGACCTGGACCGTCCCTCGAGTAGCTGCTGCCCGACCCTGAGGAGCGTCCCTCGAGTAGCTGCTGCCCGACCCTGGGGACCGTCCCTCGAGTAGCTGCTGCCCGACCCTGGGGACCGTCCCTCGAGTAGCTGCTGCCCGTCCCCTGGGGACCGTCCGGTGTCCCAGGCTCAGGAAGCCAGTGAGGCACAGCATGGGCACTGGGCTCGGGGGTGTCTCCAGGCAGCTCCAAGTCTGTAAGTTTGGAGACAGCCGCCCAGGGGAGAAGAGCAGGCACCCAGCTCCAGGCGAGGGAGGGGTCTGGCCTGGGTGGCACGGCAGTGATGCGGGCCTCAGGGACCAGTGCTGGGAAGGGAGCCCCGAGGGGACCAGGGAATGCCCATGGGGCCATCTCTGGAGGACAGCAGGAGTGCTCGCTGCCCCAGGCCTTCCTCCTCAGCCCTCTCAGCGCCGCCCCCAGGTCCTACCCAAGGACCAACTTTGAGCGGCATCCGTCTCAGGCCCGGCCTCCCAGGGGCTGGACACAGGGCCTGGCGGGGCTGTGTGCTGAGGGCCTAAGGAGGGTCCGTGCTCCAGCCCCTCGGGCCCCAGCGCGACCCTCCTGCACGCCGCACGCCAGCCTCGCGGGCCGGGCTCACCTGTGAGTGCAGGCTCATGGCGGGCTGGCTGGGGGAGTAGGGCCCCGCCAGGTCGTTCCTGAGCAGGTTGTCACTGTGCATCTTGGTCTTCAGGCAGGTGATGTAGCGGTGGCAGAAGTCCTTGCAGAGCTCATTGACCTTCTCCAGCTCCAGCAGGTGGATCCTCAGCACCTGGATTGCCTTCACCATCTGCGGGGACAGGAGGGTGGGCCTGCTGCCCGTGTGCCCCAGCTGTTGGCCTCCGCCACCACCAGCACAGAGGAGCCGCAGCCCAGCACGAGGTCCTCCTGACCTCCATCCCAGGCGCACTGCTTGCTCCTGCCGCCGCTCCGGCTGGGCACTCATGTCTCACGGCCTCGGACCAGCTGCCCCGCCCCGGCGTCGGCCCACAGTGGGGTCATCTCGTCTCCTCGACCACCCAGCAGGGCTGAGAGGGCCGTGGAGCACACCCACAGCGTGCAGCGGACAGTGGAGGCTGCGCGGGCCCGAGGGCGGCCGGGACCGGAGTCCCCGAGTCCCTCCCAGGCCAGGGCCTGTCGGCTCTCACGCACGCCCATGGGATCTTCATGGTACGGCTGCCGCACGGACACCCCACGGACAGTCAGACTGACCGGACAGTCCAAGTCCCTGTGGCTGGGCCTTTCTGACGGTCCCGGGGGTTTGCATGTCCCGTGGCCTCTTCAAACGGCCAGTCCTAACCCTTTCACGGCGAGAAGCTATGAGGTCACTGGGAACATCATGACGTATTTTTCTGGTTTTCTGTGCCAAACTGTCATGCCCTCCCTGATGACCCACTACCCGGTAGCAGAAGCTTCCCTCTTCATCGTATTATTTTCATAAAAAAGGCACCATGGAAGGTATGTGAGTCAGGGCAAGGAGAGCGGCCTTTGACCACTCGCCCTGAACCTCTCCCGGGGCGCACGTTTCGGCACCGGCCCAGAACCCTGCACGTAGACCTGCCTCCCGGATGCCCCTAGTTTAACACCAGAATGGCTTCTGCTCCCTCCTCGACTGGACACTTCAAGGCCACGCCTGTTTTTTTTTTTTTTGGAGAGAGTTTTTTTTGCTATAGGGCGTGTGCGCTCGCCAGAAAGAGAGAGACAGACATAGAGACAGGAAGCGAGAAATCACCCCCCAGGGGATATGGCCACGCTGCAATCCCTTCTCTTCCTTTCTCCTCTCGGGATCTTGGGCACGCACGCACACGCGCCCAGTGTGAGTTAAGCCACTGGGTCCAGGACTCGAACTGCGGTTCGAGTGGGAGTCTGGCAACATAGCTATTACACTAACTGCTGGCCCCAGCCACGCCTGTTCTGTCTCTGTGTTGCTGAGAACTGATGTATGTGGATCCCGAGCGCCTGCCAGGTGGGGCGAGGTGCCTGGCCGCCAGAGTGGCTGCCCACTGTCGCGTGTGCCGCATCTGGCTAGCCCTACTTCTCAGCGTTGGGATTACCTGCAATTCTCCAGTTTTATAAAGTATGTTACAGTGGGGGCTAGCATGTGGCCTGGTGGTTAAGGCACCGGATTCCTAATGTCCGACTGTGGTTCAAGTCCTGGACCTGGCGGCTTGAAAATCACAAACAAACAAATGAACGGTGTTAAAAAAGTTACAGTGACGATTTCTCTCTTTCTTTTTAAATGTGCTACCGGATGCCTGTGCTCACGAGAGAGAAAGAGAAAGAAAGTGAGAGAACACTCCCGTGGGGACGGTCATGCGGCTCCTTTCGAGATTTGGGGCACACATATGTAAGTGGTATGTTCTTCAAGCTACCATGTCGGGGCTCAAACCATGCGGCTGGCCATGTGGGGTCCAGCTGTCCTAAGCACCAGGCTACTGGCAGACCCTCCAGCAATTTTTTTTTTTTTGAGAGATTTTTGGTATAGTGAAGGTAAAATTGCCAGAGAGACAGAGAGACAGAGAGACAGAAAGTGAGAAATCACCCCCCGGGGGCATGGCCACGCCACAATCCCTTCTCCATTCTCTTCTTGGGATCTTGGGCACACATGCACACGTGCCCGGCGTGAGTTTAAGCCACTGGGTCCGGGATTCGAACTGTGGTCAACTACATGGAGTCCAGTGACATAGCCATTACGCCAACTGCTGGTCCCCCAGCAAATATTTTCTAAGCTTATAGCCTTCTCCGCGTTTCTGCATTACTCCCTTAGGACACGTTCCCAGGGGTGAAAGGAGAACAGCGTCCTCGTGTCGTGGGGTAGTCACCGTCCAGCCGCTGCCCAGCGGGGGTGTCACGTGATGCGGAGACAACTAGGCACTGTGACGCAGCCCTCCCTCTGCACAGAGAGCGACTCAGATGGACAGAGGAGCAAACGGGAGATGGAAGCCATAAAACTTTCAGGAGACAGGAACAGGAAGGCCCTCAGGACCTAGGATTGGGCAAAAACATCTGGGGCTTGACAGCAGAGGCATGGCCCAGACAGGACGGGCGACGCCGTCGCAAGCCGGCCTCCCGGTAGGCCCCTGGGAGGACGGCACCCTCAGGTGAGTGCAGGTGCACACACACCTATCCGTACAGCTGAAGGGAGGGAGTGACAAGGGCCGACCCTGTGGTGCCGTGCAGAGGGGAACTGGAGCCCATGCAGCTGGCCACGGTTCGAGTCCAGCCCCACGCTGGGAGTGCGTGTTGTGCCCACATCTGACGGATGGAGGAAGGGAGCCGGGCCTGTGCTTGCCCTCAGGCCCTGGCAATCAAAGCAGCGCTAACACAGGTGCTGCGGGCCTCCCGGAGCCTGGCCGCTGCTGGTGGGGAGCCGCCGTGGCTGTCGTTCTGGAAGCTGGAATGGCAGTTTCTTATAAAAGCAAACGTGACACGTGACCCAGGGCGGCACGTGAGACTGGCTGCGTCTCGGTGCCGCGGGGCGCGGGCAGACCAAGGCCTGTGTGCCAGCGTCCGACATAGCCAGTCTCCTGCAGCCAGAGCCCGGAAGCGCCGGCCGGTCTCGGCC